CGAAACATCGCTCAAAAGCAACAAAATCTTCAAGCCCAACTAAGAAGACTGTTAACATCCAAAAAATGGCATGAAACTTCGGAGAAACACAAGGATAAACTGTTTGAGTTTGAGACAGGGGCTGAATGTGCCGAATTGAATCTGAAATCGTCTACTAGGTGTCCAGTGGGGAGAGGACGACTATACAGCGCCTTCAACATGGCAACTATGATAAAAACTTCTTCCCAGCTAATAACAATTTTTAGCTGTTTTTTAATGAGATAAAATTGCTGTTGAGAACTGGAACGTAACGAAGTGAGTACTTCTACTAGCATCTAATCGAGCTTTTGGTCACATGATCGTAGACTCCTCAAAAAACCCACAAGCTCTGACTTTTTAAGTTATGGTCAATGAAGTATGTTATGGTCATTTGTCAAATGATCACGTGACAACTGAGCAAGTGTCCTTGGCTATCCGTTCATCAGAAACTGCACTTTATTCCCGTCTTCGAATCCATACCACATCCACTTAATCACTTACCATCATAATCATAATCATCATCGTGCATCCGCTCCACATTCACACTAGATGGTGTGTGAGGGTGTTAGAGAGGGAGGGATGAGCAGTTGCTCTCCATGGCGACCACGACGAATCTCCCGAAGCTGTGTCGAATCTTTTATCATTGTTAGAAGTTTTGCTTTGTATTATGAATGAAGTCGTCACTGCCATTTGAGTGATGAAATTGTTATTTACCCTTGCTCAATTATGTGGGAGAATATAGTATAATTACAGTAAACCACAATCACCACAAACCCTTGAGTTTAGCTGTGATTTTAGACTTCTTTGATCCCTTGACTTTCTTGACTTTCCATTTGTAGTGGCGTAACCTCCTCCAGCCAACTCCTTCCTGCAAAAAAAAGAATTTTCGTGAGGGGGACGTTTTCAGTCTTCATACCACTTCTGTCATACAACTGTGCGTTATAAAGTTGAATTTTTCAGAAGGGAAGTTAACTCGGTTTTCTAAGGCTCCAAAGCAGGATCATATATATCTCCTTACATCGTGGTCCCCTACCCTTTTTCAAGACTTATTGTTAACTGGCTTGCACTTAACATTTCTGTTCCTAGTCTCTTTTAATCACCTCATTAGAGGGTGTATTGAACTCCATACAAAGAAAGAAATTATCAATTCATCTAGACTTTCCAAGTATGGGTACAGTGCACTTGCTTTTCGCTTCATGGACTGCTCAAATGCCATACTGTCTGCAAGATGTCATTTATTTTCAAGAACTTCTGCTTCCGCGTTTGGTGCTTTTTCCTGTTAACTTTTTTCGATTTATAATTTTGTAATTTAATTAAGTAATTTTGATTACTTATTGGAAAAAAATTCACTAATGAAAGTCCAGGTGTTTGTTTATCAATATCCTCATTGCTCTGATATTTTTCGCAGCCCTTTGAACCCTTCGAGCTGATTGAAATTTAGCTCTACAACATGAAGCGAATCACCGATGGCTCTTTGTTACTCTAGGTTTACGGTAGCATCGGGTGGGGATTTCATATCATTGATCGATTCTTGCTTCAAAAATGCTCCAGAAAGCTATTCCGAATATAAGCATTGCACACTACCGTAGTTTGATCAGCAAATACGCTAATAGTAGAAAAATCAGTTTTCCCGAAATTCGAAAAACCCGAATTAAATTTGAATTGCTCTACATGTTGTACAATGCTATTTGTTCAATACAGCGCCTCTCCAAATTCCACCAGAAAAGGTTGCAGGTGTTACGGAAATTTTCTAAAATTGCAGATTTTCGCCATCATGCTTTCTATAAACCCAGTTTTTGTACTAACGATGAATACACACTGTGGATTTGAAATTTCTCGTATATGTTCAGTAAAAGGTTTTGATTTTAGTAGTTGTACATATTCTGCTTAGCTGTCAAGAAAGACAAGCAATGATAAAAATGTTCCTGACCGAAAAAGCTCGAATATTTCTTCCATTATTTCTTACTTTAATGATGGCCTCAAACGATTTTCCTTTGTTTGTTGAATTATTTTAATCAATTGATCTCGTAAGAATACAGAAAGCAGTCATCCTATCTAACCACAGATGTGATTTGTGTGATGAAGCTGTCTTCATCAATGAAAGCGCTCAAATCTTCTAGTAAAGTTAAGCCAACATAGATTAATTCATGTCTGGAGTGTTTCCGCTGATAAGCCAATGATAATCGCTCGACGGAAGGAGCTTTCCTTCATCCGTCTTCGGAGAAAAGCTGTTATCGAATAGCATATCACATCTTCTTTACTTCTGCATCTTTGCTTGTTTACTACAAATCTTGCTCACTTCAAGCAATAGAAACACATTCATGTACGGAAACGCTTCTATGTATAGTTTTTTTGTACCACTCGAGATTGAATTTTTTTACAATTATATTAGGTTAAGAATGATTCAGCTAACGTATTCCCGCCACTAGTTGTTTGTTTTTAGTACCCATACATAAAAGGATCTTTTTTTGAAATTTCTTATCAACGCAAAATAAACTCATATTTTAGATTTGCCTACATTAGTCATATCTTCCAGAAAAAGAAAAATTCCGGGTTTTGATAAGTGCTCCTTTTCCATCTTGCGTGTTTTCGACACATTTTCATTCCAGGGCAAACATAAATGTGTTTGTACGTACTCTCCGCCAAAACATGCAATGTACTTATAAGGTAGCATAGAATCAAGTCTGTGGAATACGTTCGTCAACTATACAGGATTTCTCAAAAAAATGTGCACACTGTTTGTTTATTGATTTCTTCTTTACTTTGATGTTTTCCACCAACCTTCGGGTACCATTCTGTAGAGCGACGTCCAACTTAGTTCTAGAGTATGGAGCGAATCATCGTTCGCTCTTCATTACTCTGGATTACGGTAGGAACTTCGACAAGGATTTTAGGTCTTTGGAGGCCATAATCTGCCTCGGAACATAACCAAACAAGCCGGAAATTCTTACATTATTGTAATGGAAGCCGCTCTTTTCGATGAAATTTCCACTTTAGTGTGGTGCCTCTTTCCTAAATTACCCCAGGTGAACCGTAATAATTGAATTTCCAGCATTTGTCGGGAATGTGATTACATCGTCAAAAAAGCTGAAAATACTCGTAGGAAGTTGTGTGCTGGAGTCAGCGTGCGCGAAAACCCCTTAGTACACAATTTTTTAGATTTTTTGAAAACATTTTGTTAGATGGCATATTTCACAATGGTTCCACATGCCAGAAGTTCTTACCGTAATCCTACACTTACGAAGAGCGATAGATGATTCGCTCCATACTATAAATATAAGTTGAACCTCTCTCTACGCGATGATACCTTGAGTTCCCCGAAAGACATCAAAGCGAGAGAGTTATTAATGATCAAACAACGTGCGCATTTTTCTGGGACACCCTGTGTATACAAATAAAATATTTTAGCGTTAATGTAGCTTTTATTGTTGAAAAACCCTCACCTTGCGAACTCTGGCTATCACACTGTGTGGTCATCGAAAAAGTATTTCAGAAACAATGACGTACTCTTAATGAAAGTTCATTTCACGCGTTTTATTCCAGAAAAATTTGGAAAGAAAATGTTGTTTTCTTTGCATAAATGAATATCACTTCAATCCCTGAATAATAGCCTAAAACGGATTACCGGGCTAGGAATATTCACAAAAGGCTTACTTCTGCTTTTTTTTTCAAGTAGTTCATGAAAGTCACTTCTTGTAGAGCAACTTCTTTACGCTTGTTTGAACCTTGCTGGAAGTTTTTGTGGATGGCAGGTTGTTCAGTCCATTTTTCAAGGGTTAACTTTGAAATAATTTTTTCCCAATCTGATGTGCTAACTGAGGAGATTGCTGAACTAAATTACTGCAAGGTGTCAGGTCAAGGTTGCTTTTTCCCGAACTGCGGTTGCTGCGCGTAACTGCAATGACCCGTCGATAGCAGCTAGTTTTCCGACCGTTAGCCCCTTTTTCTCAGCAAAACGCAACTCGCCTTTCTTTGTCTTTTATTTGATGACATCATAGGCATACACCATAGTTAATCCACTTGATCCGCTCGATCCACTTGATCCACTTCGCTATTGGTCGAATCAATGGACTGACCAATAGCGAAGGGAGTGGATCAACCATGGCCTATGCCGTATTTGTAAGAATCGCCGCGATTCTTTTGTGATTACATAAGCGATGAAAGCGATGTTGAATGTAATGTGGTAATGTTTATGAGTGAAGCAACAAGTACACTTCCGCTTTTTTGTTGATCACTTTAGCAATTTGTTGATTAATGGCTAGTGATTCATTCAATTTTCATTTTCTCTGATTTGACGGATACCTCGCTATCAGCTTATGTCTAATGTCATCCTTACTAACTGTAAGACTTGCTTATACGACCACTTGCACTTTGAGAACATGCCAACTATTATAATTTATCTTCCTTAACCCGAAACCCAGCTAGCATCACTAATCGTTGGCTGACAGCAGATTAAAGTATGATGAATTAGTGCGATGTGCCTGTTGCACTTCCGATAAAATATTGCTGGAAGAAGTAGAGTTATAGCATTTACATTAGCTCAACACTGCGAATATCATCACCTTATTGACTCAGCATGAGCTTTGAATCATTCGTGTTCTATCTGTTTTGTTTTGAACTACTAGGTGCAAATTATTATTCCATTCGGGTGGTTCTATTTAGAGATTGACGCACAAAGGCACTGATTCTGCAAAGATGATTACGGTATTTTGCTTTTAAATAAGAAAACATCGCGATAGGATTCTATTTTTGTGGCACTGCTACTTTATCAGTGCCTCATGTGACCACGATGTACGGTGTTTTATTCTTTGAAAATTTTTACCAGTCAGCCCGAAAGGCTGTCCAAATTTCCATCGTTGATTTTTCTTATTTTGTGACCTGAATGGATTCTTCCATCTGACGCACTTGATGCCATTCTTTGAATTTTTTATGTTACTGGGCTACCTTTCAAGATTTTTTTTGTTTATTTTTAGAATATAATCATGATGATAGCACGGGTAAAAGCAGATGCGAGAGAGGTGCGAAGCGAGCCACCCACATTCGTTGCCGGGCACGTAAGTGATTATCAAAAGCTTCCCAATATCAGGGTATTACCAGCTTAGACGGAGCTTTGTAGGAGGTAAGCGATCCATCAGATAACGACGATGCTGAGGAGGCTCCAAATCGAGTGAAGAAATTTGTTGCCAGTCGACGAAGTCACGATGAAGAGCCCACACACAAACCCCGTTATGTATGTTAAACGCCCATACCTTAAAGCGAGATTTGTACTCATGCATATTTCAGCCCCGAGAAGACACATTTTCACGGACCATCTCTGCTCAATCGCTCCCGGTTAGTGACCGACTAGATGAATTATCTGAAATGAGTATTTATGACAGAACACTGCATATGTTAGCAGTCGACCCTATCTATCAAAAGGAGGTGAGCTAAATCACTTAAACATCCACTTCAGAGTCCATGAAAACATTTTTTAGGTAGCCTTAGGAAAGCGTATAGGATTTTATCGACTTGGAAAAGAGCTTGGAGCTGGAAATTTCTCAAAAGTCAAATTAGGAATACATGTTCTCACCAAAGGTCTGTGCGTTTTTACTGTGCTTCATCTTTTAGCTCCTTGTATGTACCACGATTGAATGTCGTTGTTTGGTACAAAGAATAAAATTGACAAAAAGAGAACAATCCGGCAAACTCAAACCTCTAGACGGAGAATAAGTCTCAATTTGTGAGCAGCATCATTTGTAAGCGAAAGAACGCAAAATGTTGAAAATGAAGAAGATCTAACGAATTTTCAACAATCTTCAGCAGTTCGATTAAACGAGTACTGTAATTTTATATTATTCACATTTATGAACTGAGAATAGCGGCCATTAACGAAATAATTTTCAGAGAAAGTAGCAGTCAAAATCATGGATCGTACAAAGATGGACACAAAAGCGCAACGATTATTGGAGAGAGAAATTAAATCTATGGAAAAGATGCATCATCCGAATATAATACGACTGTTTGAGGTAAGAATCTGTCACGGCTTTTGTACACTTAACTACATCTTACTCTGAGAACAATCACAAAATATTTTTCCAACACATTTTCTTGATCCAAAATGGTTAGCGCTCATTCGGTCCCTACTAGATAATCATGCTAACTATCATTGTTTATTTTTTCCATTCGGCAGAAATACATTTTTATTTCAGTGCGTGGAAACTTTGACTCGAACCCATTTGATTCTGGAATATGCTGGTGGAGGCGAACTTTATGCTTACGTCCATGAACGAGGAAAATTGTCGGATGCAGAAGCTAAACCGCTATTCGCTCAAGTTGTAGCCGCAGTTTCACATATGGTCGGTCCAATTATTCTCCACGAAAAGAAAAAATCAAAAAGGCTCTTTGCAGCACAAGAAAAACATCGTTCACCGTGATATCAAAGCTGAGAATATAATGTTTTCCGCTCCGGGAGTGGTAAAATTGGTTGATTTTGGTTTCTCGTGCATGGTCCCGTCAGCGCAAGAGCAGCTCACCACATTCTGTGGTAGCCCACCGTATGCTGCACCTGAGCTATTCAGGTAAGCTCTAATAGTTACCGTATCTAGGTGTTATAGATCCAATGAATATACTACTACTACTTACCATTCTTTTAAATTTATTCTTCAAGCTTATATGATCATTCTAAAAGCTTCAAAACCCCTGCTAACATTCTCTGCTAAAAACAATTACAGTAACGATTACAGCTTTCATCCAAATCTCTTTATCTCCTTGCAGCAACCAAATAATATACCTATGCTTTTTCCAGAGATCAAAGTTATGTAGGATCTATGGTCGACATCTGGGCCCTCGGTATATTGCTACACTTTATGCTTATCGGTATCACTCCATTCAAGGGAGAGTCCGTGCCCGAACTCAAAACGGTTAGAGTTTACGATTGCATATGGTCAATATCTGATTACTGTTTCCAGGCCATTTTACAAGGCAGCTTTTCGCTGCCCATGTATCTAGAGCATTCATCACGAATGCTTATCGAAAGCATGCTTCAAATGGAACCGTACAAACGACCGAAAATTGACGACATTAAGGTAACAGAGCATAGTACTTTTTTGAGTGAAATGTATCTCAATCGGGAGTAGTGCTTCGTTTGAAAGATTTAGATGAAACTGCAAAACATTCCCAAATATTATATACCACTTATATATAATTGTAATAAACTCCTTACAGAAGTCCATTTGGCTCCGAGGGTGTAAATTTCCTCCTACGTACCTGAATCTGGCGAGCCAACAAGAAAAAATAGAGGCGGAGAAAAATGAAATCTCAAAAAAGGTAGGACAGTCAAAAGTCATCATTTCTGTTGCATATGTCCATCATCTTAGCGTAAACTTTTTACTGTGTACTTTTTCAACTTCGAAAAAAATTTTCTGAATTTGCTGTGGAAAATCGAAAGCTTTTTAGGTCTGGGATATCATGCATAGCTACGGAATTACGGAGCAGATGCTAGATGACTCACAAGATCGTGGACCAAAGAATGCAATGATTGGCACATATCGTATCGTACAGTACCAAGTGCAAACTGCAGCCAAACAATCGGTAAGGGACACTCTTTGCGCGTCAATGGTACCCCAGGGTAAAGATCATAGCATAAAAGCGAGTCTCTGCATCATATTCCATGCAACTTTCTTTGAACCTTGGAAACCTTGGCATTTGATAGTCTTCTTTGTGTAGTATTTGAGCCTTCACCAAGAATATTATAACGTTTATTAGGCTGACGTTTCGGCCAACTCGCCTTCGTCAGAGCCTGTAAGTGAGGAACATATGAGATTTACTCGCTCAAGTCTTATCATTTGCACGAAAAACGCCAAAAAGCTGTCTGAAGCGAAACCCATATCTAAGAGTTCACCTTAGACTTGAAGTTGAGACCACATACCACCGAGTGACATGGAATGAATGAGTTGGGGTTCTTGGCTCGAGTCGGTAGACCAAATTTGCGTATGTCAAGGAGGCTAGCTCACTCGCTATGGGTAGGTGAACTACTATTCAAAATCCGACAGGCCCTTAAGGCCCCGGTCAGACTTCACGCGACTTAATCGTCGCGATCTAATCGCCAAGATTTCCATTCATTTTCATTTCACATTCAAAATGTCGGGCTGGAAAAGTATCACAACCGAATACAAGTTGATCGGCATGGAATGATGTTGTAACAGTTGTCTCGTCGCGACTCAGTCGCGACGATCAAATCGCGTGAAGTCTGCCCGGGGCCTAATGCTTTGCGCGGCGCAACATTAGTTTCTTTCGATAGAATTGACACTGAGACGTCGAAATCTTTGTTGTCATGCTGCAGCTTACGATGCGTGCCTAGGGGTATTGAAAGTCTCGATTTTCGCAACTTGTCCAAATGTTCTTCCGTTTGAGGGACAGCGGTCTTCCTTTTTCCCCTATGCACTGCTGCGAATCAAGCGCTGCTTGAGGCTGAGGGCAGGAGCTTCAACTACTCTCAACGAGTACTGCAATTCTGATTTCCGTACGCACGCCCTGATCTTGCTACCAAACCCGTAGATATGAATGGAGTGCAAAGTGACACCCTATCCATATCGCTGGGGATATAAGCAGTTTGAGATTATGGCGTACTTTTGCACTTATATCAAGAGGGTATCCATTTGCCTGTGCTGTCTGAAGAGCCTTTTGAGCTGCTGTAACTTTGAGGTTGTCATCCGATGACACGGCTTTAGCTGTTCTGAACATGTTTTAATGATGCTCTGCTTTGAGCTCATTGGATGCGCAGAAGATTAGTGCACGAGGATGTTCTTACTGCTTAATTTCGTGCACCAATTAGGCTTACTCTTTGATCTGGGGTGGCTGGAAAGCGGAGTTTCGTGACCTAGTTGAGTCCACCTTAAGTTGAGGGTGTTGAGCTTTTGGCAGCATATAATAGTAGGGCCCTCTATCAATCCAATACCCAAGTCGAGGCGCAAAATGCCGCTTCGGAAGCGAGAAAATCGCTTCGGAATAGCGAAGATGCACGAGGACCCCATCCATGCCCGCCCTCCCCCATCCATGCCCGCCCATTTGTGCGCACCCATCCAATCACCGTTCTGGAAAGCCGGCCTGCGGGTTCTCCGGAACGGGGATTATCAGGGTTTTCGAGCATTCTCGACTTCATATTCGGAATCAGGGACATAAGAAGGCCCTGAAACGACAAAAACGTGGAAGTCGAAAATCTGGGTGGACGGTGCCTTTAAGGCTAGAGAATGGTCAGAGAGCACGCGCGCGAGAGAAACGCAGATTGCGTCGCGGGCGCGAGCGGCCTTCATTAGGTCACAAAGCTCCGCCGTCCAGCCGCCCATCTAGTTGAATCAAAGGTTACATTCCCCTTTGCTCAGATAAGACTGAACATTGAGAAATGGAAGCCAGCCATCTTTTGGTCCTTCTCTCGTGAGCTTAATGACAACGATTGCTTGCTGAGTAGGTCAAAACAGACATTCGTTTCTGCCTGTGTCGGATATACGGTGAAGCAATCATCGACGCATCGACAAGAGAAAGTGGGTGTGCGGCTCAAGACTGCATATTCTACTCTTGACATAAGGATCATACCTAAGGCTTTATACATACCTAGCGTCGGGTGTCTATACGTAGCGGTGGCAGCAATGCGATTTGTGCATATTGATTGCAGCGGAGTGACGCTGCTGCCTCCCGCTGCAACAGCTAACATGGAGGGTCATGTCCATACCTAGCGAGTCATTTTTGAGCAGCGCTGCGCAGCGCTGCTCAAGCTGATCAGCGCTGCAACGAGATTTGCAGCCGAGTTACGCTCACTTTTTCTGAGCGTATCTCAGCTGCTGTGAGCTGCAAACAGCTGTTTTGGCTCGAAATTATTTTTTTTAGCATTTTTCAAGCAAGCTGTAATTAGCGTTCTGAAAACAGAGTCCGTCTTTATATTGCGTGAGCAGGAATAAATGCAACCTAATACCGTTTAATTGCAGTTTCAGAGGATACGGGGAAATAGTGAGACGACTGGAAGGACATACTCTATGAACTTGAAGACAAATGTAGTAATTGATACTGACTACACATTGGCAATTTAAAAAGCTGACAGCGTAATCAGATAAAGTTTCGCCTCCATGGGCTCCAATCATGTCATTGCCTGAGGGACAATTTCATTCTACTGGGACAGCCATTGCCTTATCTTGGGTCGAATGGAATGAATACACTTGAATTGCTCTTTTGAGTTTGCTCGTATGAGCTACCTTTCTATTGTTAATTTAATGATAAAAAATGAAAAATGAAGAACTTCTCATAAAAGTTTGGACCAGATCCAACTCAAAATATGCTAATTCTCTTCTTTTTGACATAATAAAATTCGACATAGCGCAGTTATTTTTGATGGTTTCTGCACTCAACATGCACTCAAGAAGCAGCCGAGCGCAGCGCTGATCACCCGGAGCAGCGCTGCCATCAGGCGGAGCAGCGCTGCCTTCGCTGCTCGCTGGTTTTGTCCATACCTAAGCAGCGAGGTATGTATCAAGCCTAACACCGGTGTCAAACGCTGTTCCACGGCAAACCCCGACCTGGCGGTAGTACTGCCTGGACCAAGGATATATTGCGCAGTCATGAATAGCGTAATAATTTTGGTGAAGGTTGAAAACTACGCGAAAGGGAACCGAGTCTATTGCGTATTCCAAAAAGAAACAGTTCAAAGGAATGAATTTATCTTGGTGACATCAAAGCCGCAAATTCTGAAAGGGAGATTAGTGTATGGAAGTCCTTTGTTGTTTTGTCTTATTTTTGGAGCGCCCCGAAAGGGATTTTTTTTTGAAGATTCAACAGATTTGAGTTTAGTGCATAGAAAAGATGTCTAAGGCACTAAATAACATCAAACAATCTTTGAGTCTTCTTTTCCATTCCAGCAATCAGAATCGTCGTTAGCAGTCCCTACAACACCAGCAGAGCGAAAACATCAAAGACAACTCAAGACCAAAAGCAAAACCTGCACAATTATATAAATGCGAAAAAAATCTCACTCCTTCAAAATCTCGATCTCTCAATTTATGTACATTATATATTCTATTTGGTGCGAACTATCACAATCATAACTATCACAGTCAGGCAAACAGGATACTTTTGGTTCGTCTCCTCTTTTTTCCAAAGAATTGATATGATGTTTTGTAGCTCATTTTAATCCTAATCCAAGGAAATTCTTCACGCAGGTTACTTCGTCTTCCATATGGTGATTCGTTACGATGCTATGCATTCTCTACAATGTATGATATGATAAATGTGTACAAAGTGGGCTATGAAAGATTCTATTGTCGCGATCTCTGTAGATACAAATTTCTGCAAAATGTTGGAAATAAAGCACTTTATCGAAGAGCTGGTTTGAAGCAGAAACAGAGAGAAAGCCGGAATCACTCACAGGCAATTCTTCAAATCAAATTGAAAAATAAAAGGTCTGACGAAAAAGATCAAGAAGATCACTTTCCGTAAAAAGGCATATTTTATAGCAGCGAAGTATACTGTAAAGCGAGTGTTGGAGAGAATGGTCGCGCGGTATAAAACTGTATAGATCATGAACAAAATTCCGTATTAACGGTACGTGATGTCCCTCCGAAAGTATCACACCGAAAAGCTGCGCTAGATAGTTACTATTTTCTCAGACGATCTTCTTTGTCATAAATTGAATTTTTTGGTCATTTTCAACTAGTGGTGTCCAACTCATTTTTTAATCCTAGGCGGTTCCGTGAGTTATCCATTAAAAATGACACGTGTTACTTCCAAGCACTTTCGAAAGAACGCTTTTAAAATTAAATATCCTAAAATTGACGTGCAAGGCCGCTTTCTCGATCCAGAAGTCAGTCTGCAGTTGATTTCGCCCTGCAAGTCCTTTTTTCCATAATAATTACCCTATAAAATTTGACAGATAAGTCCGAAGCTGCCTTATCCAAATCGAACTTATCTTTGAAAGATTTATCTGCGGGGCTCTTTAAGTTAGATTTTGGAGAACTAAGAATATTCTGACCAATAACTGCGCTGCTGCGGTGATTTGACAGCAGCCAAACTAAATTTCTGTCACTTATTTACAGAAACTGTATTGAGGCACATATACAGTACACATCCATCATGTAGCAACTGCAACTCCATTTTCAAGGGAAAATAATTGGTCCAGATGCGAGAGAGCCGTCTTCTCGGTTTTACATCGAAGGCTATGCGACTCTACTGAGGTTGTAAAGTGGAAACGATTCATTTGTTATCGAGGATACGAAAAAGCGTGAAACAATAAGAACAAACTGCGACATATCTAGGCTAAGAGGCGCAGGAACTGAAGTGTGACGAGCAATTTTGCAGCTGCTTCACACTTCTGTGATATAAAGAGACAAGACACGTAAAAATGATTGACATTACCGTGACGCCGGAGAGCCAATGGCCTTTTCATTTCTTTGAGAAAAGGACAAGGAGTAATAGCTAGGTCGTTTGCGAAGAATTCTATTCACAAGAGCCTTTATTTTAGTGAGGACTGAATCGTAGCTTTGACTTTCCTGAGGAAGCAGTATAGAGGCGATAACTGATCAAGGGTAGGAGACCAAAAGTGGGTGGTCCCACGCGGACAATGCAGCAGATACTCAGCCTGTGCATGTATTGGAATGTGTATTTGTTGCAAATGTCCGGCGGGACCTCCCACTGGCGAAATATAGTCCCCTACCCCCTGATCAACTGTCATATGTATCAAATTCACTCACAGTTTTTTGCAAGTAGAAGTAGAACGTAAGGTAAAGTGCATTGTGCCGTCGAAAGGGGAGGTCTCGGGAGGATATCGTCCACAAATAAGTGCCCACTGAACGTCACAGCTCTGCCTGTCTTCACGCGGGTGGAGACTCTAAGGGCCGCATGCACTAACATCCCCACGGTTAGGGGATCGCAGCTCAAAAGAAAGCTTCATATTCTGAAGCTCCAGATATCTGGATTTCACGTTGTGTACCCATCCATAAGTATTCCTACTACCCTTCACTATGAACACGTTGAACAGGAGCGAGAAGCTGCACAAGCCGCATTTTCCAGCTTTTGTATGATCCCTGATGATCCCCAGCGCTTTTCTTTGAAGTCATTTTTCTTTCTCCAGAGTTAACAAAAAGCTTTCAAAGTTGTGCATGATATCTAATCCAACACTGCTTAGCATGTTGCTGATAAGAACAAGTGATGTACCGGAGTCATGAAATTTGCGATGAACCACAGGTCGAAAATTGGAGTTCACCGAAAAATCCGAGTTTTCAAAAACTCATTTGTTCTCATCAGTAATATGCTTAGCACAGTTGTGTTAGATAATCAGTACAACTTTGGAAGATTTTCGTCAACTTCAAAGAAAGAAAAATGACTTTGAAGAAAAGCGCCGGGGATCACCAGGGATCATACAAAAGCTGGGAAATGCGGCTTGTGCAGCTTCTCGCTCCTGTTCAATGTGTTCATAGTGAAGGGTAGCAGGAATACTTACGGATGGGTACACAATGTGAAATCCAGATATCTGGTTCAGAATATGAAGCTTTCTTTTGAGCTGCGACCCCCTCCCCAGCGTGGAGGTTAGTGCAGCCCTAAGCGACATATTGTCCTTACCCTAAGAAAAGCATTGCTATGCGGATTTTGAATCAAAAACCCTTTGCGGGGAGGGGGAGGGAGACTGATCAACACTGTCCCCCGGTGAAAATTGCATCGGAAGCACCACTCCGCGGTCCTAGCTGCGTCGCGATTACGTAGGAGCTAATGTATTCGTTTCGCGTGCTATTACCCTATTGATAATTGAGAGTTTTTACAGAAAAATATTTTTAACCTATTTTTCTGCGACATTGCCGCATATCTTTTCTGTATGGTTTTTTGTCAGGTATATTCTGCACGAGGCATTATGCACCTTCTTTCGTTCTCTTTCTTTTTTATGCCGCTGACAAAAGATCTTGGTCGGAAGGTTGAAGAAAGGTTCAGAAATTTTTTTAACTATCGCAGAAGTTTGAGCGTCTGAAATGGGAATATCCGCAGGAATTTGACTCCACACTGAAAACGCTGGAAACGGAAACCGGAAAGAGCACTAATCATAGAGGGCTGCAGGAGGTTCGTTTTCGCATCTGCGGAAGTTCCGGTCGATTGCCTGAAAATGACATGAAGTCACGAATTTGTAGAGGCGAAAATTTTACGAGTTCACGTACAAGCTCTGAAGCCTACACTTACCGCTATCAAATTTGTTGTTAATGTGAAGCACTCGTTGAAGCCATACTGTAAAGCCTTATGTGAGATAGTAGAAGCGTATTCCGTTATGAATGCTGCACCCATGGCAAGTTCTGGCAAACTTCTCTACATCGCATCATATTTAGATTTATAGAGCACAATTCTATCGTTTTGGAAATTTATAACACCAGTTGATAACATATGTATGCGTATTGAATTAATTCACAGTTTCGAGGCTGGCTGACTTGAATGATTGCTGTGCTCGGATGCAACGAAACCATTGAAGATTAACCTCGTGCTCTGGTTTGACGCTCGCTGATAGAGTTGCTTCCCCTTGTGTCAATATTTGTTCCCTGCACGACCCTCTACTCCATTGTCTGACCGATGTTCGTCTTTCTGGGTTGTCCTTTTTTCGTGCAACGTTTGAAAGATACTTTCTCTTACTAACGTTATAGGCAGATCCAAAACTTCTACTAAAGTTATAGACAGATCCAAAACTTCTTCTTAACTACGACAACGCTTTCGCATATGTAAAGTATATCTGCTATACAAAACTATAAAACTACTTCTGCTTCCTATGAGCCAGAAAGTTCTGTTACTTTTTTTACGAAAAAACCGTAGGAGGTCTGCGAAAACTCTTACACATTCAAGTGTAAAATGGATGGATGGATGGATAGTAGTAGCACGTGTTCGAAGACACATGCGTTTGGCATTTTCCCCATATGATCCGAGCCTCACAGTCCAAGTGGCGCATTTGAAGCAAAAATTGTACTTTGCATCTCATTTGCGTCACTGTGTACTCAACATCTGCTAAATTTCCATTTACAACCGTTATTTTTTTCTAATTTGAGTGGTGCTCCCAACTCGCATAGACTCACGTATAAGAAAAATCTTTAGCAAATAGTATGAAAAAAAAAACTCAAGATCTACGTTTCAATAGCGAGCTATAAACTTCTTCGTTAAAGGTTTTTCTAGGAACCTCAGGATTGGAACTCTTTTTCCTGAATAAAACCACTTTTTTGAATGAAAGGAGCGGAAAGTTCCATATTTATTCAATACTTTCACAAGCCAGTATGATTTATTGGAAATACATACCGTATATACCTCAAGCTTTTGTACATCTCAAATTTCATCATCAAAATCATTTTACTCTGCTTTGAATCTCACTGTTTTCAACTCTCCTTGCTCTCTTTCTTTCTTTAGCAGAAAAGTGAATTTTCATGTGAATGGACATTTTTTCATGACATCTACAATTATTTTAGTCCTCTTTCCGTTCTTTCTATCTTTTGCACACTTACAATTCTGTAGGGTTCTGTAACACAGTCTGAAATGCCGACAATTTGCATTTTTTTTCTTTGCAAAGAAAATTGCAGAAGTTTAATATCCGGCAATTCCGCGGCTACGCTGAGTAAGAACTATAAGTGTTTCCGTTCACAATATCAGGATATGGTATGTCTAGCCAATGCCAGGGGACTTCGTGGCTGAGGTTTAATGCCATACCAAACCAACCTTTGTTTTAACTGGCTTGGCGCTCGGAAGGCGGTGCTTTGTGACCAGGGTCAAGCAAGGGGTGTGGCACACGATCGCTGGTCACGACCCCTCCCCCCTAATTGCTGTCTTAATAAGAGACCCCCCTCCTCCCTAAATTATATACCTAAGATAGCATTACCTGAAGGCCCTGTCAAACATAATGGGTAACATATCCATAATGAGCATGTCAATTAACCCCTGTAGACAAAGTTTGAGCGAATTCTGAAGATTCAAGATACTAGGCTACCTAAGCGAAATGGTCGTATTC